GAGAAGCTCTTCATGGAAATGAAGGCTAGGAATTTAATTCCAAATGTGATTAGTTATACGACTATGATCAAAGGTTATGTCTCTATGGGCCGCGTTGATGATGCTTTGAGATTGTTTGATGAGATGGGTTCCTTCGCAATTAAGCCAAATAGTAATACTTACTCAACACTGTTGCCGGGACTCTGTGATGCAGAGAAAATGGCTGAAGCCCAAAACCTTGTGAAGGAGATGATGGAAAGACACCTTGCCCCAAAGGACAATTCAATTTTCCTAAGGTTGATATCTTCCCAGTGCAAATCAGGTAATTTGGAGTGGGGTGCTGATGTGCTTAAAGCGATGATTCGATTGCATATTCCAACAGAAGCAGCACATTATGGTGTTTTGATTGAAAACTTTTGCAAGGCGGGGGCGTTTGACAGGGCTGTTAAGTTATTGGATAAGGTGATTGAGAAGGAGATCCTATTGAACCCATCTAGTTCATCAGAGATGGAGCCAAGTGCTTACAATCCAATTATTGAGTATCTATGCAATAATGGACAGACAGGGAAGGCAGAAGCTTTTTTCCGAGACCTGATGAAAAGGGGTGTTCAGGATCCAGTTTCATTCAATAACTTGATTTGTGGTCATTCAAAGGAGGGGAATCCAGAATCTGCTCTTGAGATCCTTAAAATCATGAACAGACGTGCAGTACCATCAGTTGCTGATGCCTACAGATTACTTGTTGAGAGTTTCTTGAGGAAAGGTGAGCCAGCTGATGCTAAGACTGCTTTGGATGGTATGATTGAAAGTGGGCATCTTCCAGACCCACCACTGTTTAGGTCAGTTATGGAGAGTCTATTTGATGATGGAAGGGTTCAAACTGCTAGTCGGGTGATGAAAAGCATGATAGAGAAAGGGGTGAAGGAGAATATTGACTTGGTTCCTAAAATTTTGGAGGCCCTTCTCATGAGGGGTCATGTTGAGGAAGCCCTGGGTCGAATTGAACTATTGATGAATAATGACTGCATTCCTGATTTTGATAGTCTTCTGTCAGTTCTCTGTGAAAAAGGAAAGACAATTGCTGCTTTCAAATTGTTAGATTTTGGTTTGGATAGAGATTGTAACATTAGCTTTTCAACCTGTGATAAGGCATTGGATGCACTTTTAGCAGCAGGAAAGAGCCTCAATGCATATGCAATAATGTGTAAGATTATGCAGAAAGGTGGGATCACTGATAAAAGTAGTTGTGAGGATTTGATCAGGAGCCTAAATGCAGAGGGAAATACAAAGCAGGCAGATGTTCTCTCAAGGATGATCATGGGAGAGAGAAGCATCCAGAAGGGCAAGAAGGGGAAGAAACTTGCTGCAAATGCACATTGAGTTCCATGTACTTTTCCTAACCTTGAGAAAACTGAGAGCAAGTTGGATGGTTGGGTTCTGCTTTAAGAATTATTATGGGCTAAATAAGTCATGGCAACTTCTTTTTTTTTTTTTTTTCAATTCTGGGTTTTCTTTTTCTAGTTTTTAGGGTTATTGTCTTTTTTTTTTCTGTTTTTTGATTGTGGGGGATATTTGGATCTTTGAGTTTAAATTATTAGCCAAATATCAATTGGAGCTTTATTATCCTGTTTTTTTTTTTTTTTTTCATTTTCAGTAATAGCCAAGCATTATCCAGAAAGTCCTGGTATGCTTCTTGTACACAAGATTTTTTACCATCAACAGGGTTTTGATTAAACTATGACAACTTTTAGATTTTGTTTCTTGTATGGTGTTCAGATAATCTGTGCCTTGTTACTGATAAAGGAAAAGAATTGTCTGTGCAGTCTCACTGTTAAGAATGGGTTTCATTATACACAGAAATTGCATATAAACTGGGTTTTTGTTTTTTTTTTTGTGCTATTGAATGTGTTCTATCACAAGGTCTGTCACTATTCTACCTGAAAATTGATTGTTTTTTTTTTTTTTTTAAATGTTGTGAAGGTGAATATTTTCCAAGAGCTTACAATGATACCCTATTTGTTTGGGAGGATGAGTCAATTGCTTTTGATGTGCTGGTGAATGATTATTTTGCTGGTGACAATGCGAGTATTGTTGAATCATCAATGGTAGGATTCAAAGTTTTAGAAGACTATTGCTAAAACATAAATCAAGTGATCTGACCATGTTTCTGGGCTTAGTGGAGCCATCTGGAAAATTACGATTATTTTCTTAAATCAATTGGTCTTGGTTAATGAGGTAGTCAAGGATTTCTTCCTAGCTTTTAGAGGGTTAAGGCAAGGTGACCCCCTTTCCCCTTTCCTCTTTACCCTAGTTATAGATGTTTTCAGTAGTTTGATCTCTAAGGCAGACATGGAAGGAGTAGTGAGAGGTTGGAGGATAGGAAGGAATGGGATTAGGGTAACCCACTTACAGTTTGCTGATGACTTAATAATCTTTTGTGAAGAGGGTGATAGGAGAACAGTAAGTAACCTCAAATCTTTGATAAAGCGCTTTGAGAGAGTATCAAATCTTAAAATAAACATGGAAAAGAGCTATGAACAGTAAGTAACCTCAAATCTTTGATAAAGCGCTTTGAGAGAGTATCAAATCTTAAAATAAACATGGAAAAGAGCTRTGTGGTGGGTGTGAATCTGGTTGAGAGGACTATTGAGTCTGTGGTTGAGTGTCTAGGTTGTCCCATTTCCTCTTGGCCCATATAGTATTTAGATCTACCTCTAGGAGCCAACCCTAAGGAGAGCACCTTTTGGGCCCCGGTTCTGGAAAAGTTTGAGAAAAGGTTAGCCTCGTGGAAAAGGAACTATATTTCTTTAGGGGGTAGAGTAACATTATTGAAAGCTTCCTTAGCAAATTTGCTGATTTATTACTTCTTTATGTTTAGGATTCCTGTTAGGGAGGCCAAGAAGTTGGAGAAATTAATGAGAAATTTTCTTTGGGAGCCAGGGGAGGGAAAAAAGGATCACTTAATAAATTGGGGAATAGTGTATAGGAGGAAAGAGGAGGGTGGGTTGGGACTGGGAAACTTAGTTTTGAAGAATAAAACACTCCTAGGAAAATGGTTGTGGAGATGGCCCTTAGAACAGGAGAGGCTATGGCATGAGGTGATAGATAGTACACATGGCAGTTCGGGAAATGGATGGGTCATGGGATGCTGGTTGTGTATCACATCGAGCCACGTTGGCAACTCCTTGGAAAGCAATTCAGAGTATTCTCCCTTTTTTCCTCAACTGTATCAAGTATGATGTCAATTCTGGTACTTTTGTTTTGTTTTGGGAAGAAATCTGGGTGGGCAATTCTGCCCTTAAGGACAGTTTCCCTTTCTTACTACAAGGGTAAAGCAATCTCTCACTTTCTTCCAACATCTGTTTCTCCATCCTCTCTGAATTGGGACTTTGGGTTTCGTAGAGGCTTGTGGGATTATGAACTCTCTTGTGTTTCAGACATTTTGTCACTACTTGAAAGTGTTTTTCTGGACCCTTTAAGATCTGATGTGAGACTTAGGTCCCCTAATCCAAAAGGTTGCTTCACGTGTGCCGCCTTCTTTAAGTCCCTTTGCTCTCCCTCGGGACAAGTGGGTCTCCCAGCGAAGGAGATTTGGTCTAAACCTGTACCTCCTAAAATTACTATTTTCTGCTGGGAGGTGTTCTATAGGAAAATCAACACTTCAGACTTATTGCAGAAGAGAAGGTGTTTTATGAGTTTGTCTCCTAATTGGTATGTACTTTGCAGGGCTAATGGTGAGGATTGCTCTCACTTTTAACATGTTCTTTTTCTGATGCTATTTGGGGTTGGATCTTTGCTTTGTTTGGTTGCAGATGGAATTTGACCACAGACGTAGATCAGCTCTTTGACCCTTCCTTCTTTGTGTGGCTCACAAAAATTGGTAAAACAATGCGGAGGTGCATTAGAGCTGTTGCTTTGTGGACAATTTGGGAAGAAAGAAATGCGAGGATTTTCCAAGAGGAGAGAAATATTCAGAACGTAAAGGATTGCATTTTGACCAGGGCAATCCATTGGCTGAGATCATTGGATTCCTTTAAAATATATTCCTTTGATGACATTTGGAGGAACTGGATAGCTGTGGCTAGTAGCAGTAACAGGAAGAATAGGGTACCAACTGTGTGGGTGCCTCCTTCAGAAGGCTGGACAAAGCTGAATTTTGATGGTAGCAGCCAAGGAAATCTAGGTCCATCAGGGATAGGTGGGGTGCTGAGAGATAAAGATAGTAATATATTAGCTTTATTCTCAGGCTCCGTGGGTATAGGAGACTCTATTAGAGAAGAGCTTCTAGCGGCAGTACAAGGTATTCAGATTGCAGACCAGTTAGGAGTTCAGAATTTGCTTATTGAAGGAGACTCCGAAGTCATTGTGGGTTGGTTAAAAAATCCAGCTTCAATTATTTGATGCTACAGGGATATTATGAGGAAAGCTAATTGGTTTTCAAGGAACATGACTGTTAATTATCAGTGGGTGGGTAGAATAGCTAATAAGCCTAATACCATAGCGGATGGGTTAGCTAAGCAAGGGGTATCAAGGGAACACTTATTCTGGGCATCTCTGTAAACTTTCATCTCCTAGTCTGATGTAGTACTTTGTTGCTGTTGAGGAGAGGTATCAGCTCATGCCTCTCCTTTGGGCAGGCTGTATTGTAATTTCATTCTGATTATTATGAATAAATTATCAATCATTTATCAAAAAAAAATGATGGATACCCATTTTCCAGAAGAAAATTTCTAGACTAAAGATATAAAATCATTATGTTACATTTCCTCACTATTTTTGGTCAATTTTCAGATGCAATGCATTGCCTGTATTATAAGGTTTCTTCAAAGATCATAATGTTTTGTTATTTTATCTTGGCAGCCACGCCATGGGTCACTTTTAAAGTATGGACGGCTATTTAGATACACTCCTCATAAAGATTATTTTGGGAATGACTCCTTTACCTACACAGTATCTGATATAAATGGTAACATTGTTTCTGCCATGGCAATTATTTCTGTCCTCGGCATCCCAGTTTGTTTCATTACCTATTCAATTGAAAGCAACTGAAAACATGATAAGTCCCAGATTTGGGTAAGGTTCTACCCATTCTAAAATCAATTTAAATTTACGAAGCAAGGCATGGGTGCACTGGTGCAGGTCTTTCTCTATGATGTGGATCCGTTATTAGGATCATGAATTCAACATAAACCTGTATTTTACAATTATATCATCCCTCTCCCTCCCACCCTCCCCTCTCTCTCTCTCTCTCCCCCCTCTCCCTCTCTCTCTCTCTCTCTCCCCTGCTATATTGTATGTGTGGGAGACTGTTTAATATTACATCTTAACTCAATAATCATTTTTTGGTTCCTAATCAAATGCAACAAAAATAAAAGTATGTGTCATGTAATGTGGTAAGATTTTTTATTAGTTATTTAAATACTCATTTTGGTATTGAAACATATCCTGACCTTTTTCAGAGGATTCCCTGGATTTGAGATAGCGTATTCAGATCTGATGGAGAATATTTCTGTCACTCTCAGTTCACAATCTGGCACCATCTTTCTTTCTCCTATGCTAATGCAGTTTCAGGATTTAGCATGGAGTGGACTTTCTGTTAACAAAGGTGGAAAAGAAGGGAAGGGTTTGACATTAGTAGGTCTTGTTGAAGTAATTAATCATGCCCTTAGTCAATCCAATATCTTGGGTATTATGCAGTGCGCTACATTGTCTTTGTCTAAATTGAACACTAATCTTAGTTTTATGGGGTTTTTGTTATTCTTGTCTTGGACAGTTGACTTGTCCTATTAAGCCTCTTTAGATCTATCTTTCACAAATCATGTTTGCAATGACTATGCTCCTATTTTTATTTATCCTTTTGATTTCTTTGTAGCAGAAATGAGAACTTCTTTGGAGAAAAGATGTTATCCATGTCTCCAGCATGAACAAAAATGGAGCAAATGATGCCCAGGTTGTAGTTTCTGTGGAACCTATAAAGGATCCTCCATTTATTCATGCCTCTGAATTTATAATGCTGGAGGATGACAACAATGATGGTTTACTGATAAGAGACCAATTTGATTTCTTGATAGGGGATCCAGATCTTCTACACTTTCCCAGTATGCTAATTGAAAGATAAGTTTCTGTTCTTTTTTAATGGATATAGTAGTGATGGGAGACTTTATATCCCGTTGTTCTATAGGTTCCATTTGTCAGGACTGCATTCCTGTAGGTAACCCCAAAATAGTTATGATTAAGGCTGAGTTATATATATATATAAAGGGGTAGAAATTTTCTCAATATTTAATGTTTCAATTATTTTCGTCTCTTTTATGGTAAAATCTTTCATCCCCTTTTACCTGGAAATGGATGTGGTATAACGAAAAAAAAGAGGTATTGTCAAAAAGCCAGATGTTTCCTAATAGGTAATAATTAGATCAATAACTCAGTATGGATCAAGGAAGTAAAGTGGTCAATTGATCATTTTGGGCTATGCCACACTTGATAGATGGTTACCCCTTTTTTTTTTCAGTAGCTTCAGCAGTTTGAACCAGTAGAGAGAAGAAGAAGAAGAACTTGGTAGCTTAAACTCTACCAGTTGACCGTAATATGGATTAGGGGTTCTAAATATTGTACAGTGACTAAACTGGCCCCACTTAAGTATGGGACAGGATGTCTACAAGAGTGATATTAGAACTACCACATAAGCACATAACTTAAACTGAATGAAATGACTACTCTACCCTTATTCGGCTAACTCTAACACTCCCCCTCAAGCTAGAGAATATATGTCATATAACCCCAACTTATTATATATATAGTTTACTCTCCCTGAGCTTAAACCTTTTGTAAACAAATCTGCCCACTGATCACCCGAGGCCACATGTTGTGTGCTTATCTCTCCAGTAAGGACTTTCTCCCTCACAAAGTGGCAATCAATCTCTATGTGCTTTGTTCTCTCATGAAAAACATGATTAGATGAGACGTGAATTGTAGCTTGATTGTCACAGTACAATCTCATAGGTCTGTCCATTGAGAATCCGACCGATTTCTTGTAGGAGATTCCTCAACCATAGTAATTCACATGTAGTGTGTGACATGGCTTTATATTCGTCTTCAGCACTACTCCTTGCCACAACTGTCTGCTTTTTACTCTTCCATGTCACAAGATTTCCTCCAATGAATGTGTAGTAACCTGTAGTACTTCTATTTGACACTGAGCCTGCCCAATCTGCATCTGTATACCCAACTACTTCAAGTCTTCCTCCTGGTTTGTACAATAACCCACGGCCTAGAACTCCCTTCAGGTACCTTACAATTCTAAGAACTGCATTCCAGTGAGGTATTCGAGGATTTTACATAAACTAGTTCACCACACTGATTGCAAAGGAGATGTCCGGTCTTGTGATAGTCAGATAGTTCAGCTTCCCCACTAACCATCTATATCTTCCTGGATCATCAAATATTTCACCTATATCACTACTCAACTTAGCATTTGGTTTCTTGGGAGTTTTAGCTGGTTTTGCACCTAGTAGCTCTGTTTCATCCAGTAGATCAATGACATTTTCTTTGGCATAGGTTTACACCTTGTTTTGATCTGGCAACTTCTATACCCAAGAAATACTTCAACTTTCCAAGGTCTTTTGTTTGAAAATGGTCTTGTAGAAAGACCTTTAGTTTATCAAATCCCCAATTTGTCATTGCCAGTTATGACAATATCATCCACATAGACTACTAATAAAATCTTTCCGGTTTCTAAATCATAGTTGAACACTGAGTGGTCAACCTGACATTGTTTCATTCCAAAATTCTTCACTACACTAAAATTCCCAAAACAAGCACGGGGAGATTGTTTCAATCCATAAATTGTCTTTTTCAGTCTACACACTTTACCATCCTCCATTTGAGCAACAAACCCAGGTGATTGCTCCATATATACCTCCTCCATAAGGCCACCATGAAGGAAGACATTTTTAATGTCAAGTTGAAACAAGGGCCAATCATACATAACTGCTAGGGAAATTAAGACACGGGCGGAGCCAATCTTTGCCACTAGAGAGAAGGTCTCCATATAGTCCACCCCATACAACTGCGAATAACCTTTACCAACAAGTCGGGCCTTCAAACGCTCCACACTACCATCCAGCAAGTATTTAACAGTATAAACCCATTTACAATCCACAACATGCTTATCGGGAGGAAGAGTATTGAACTCCTACATTTGAGTATGCTGAAGAGTAGAGAGTTCCTCATATATTGCTTGACACCACTCGGGTGAAGTAAGGGCCTCTTTATAGAGATATATGACAATAGTGAAATAAACTGGCAATGTGAAGCGGAAAGGTGAGGGACTGAAACAAATATAGAAATGGGATGGAGGGTACAACTACGTTTACCTTTTTGTAAAGCAATGGGAAGATCAAGCTTTGAAGGTTCTGGGACAGGAGCAACAACAGGATACACTTTCTCGGTTTGAGAGTAGCCAAGAAAGATACACTTAATAGAGTGTGCATCCAGCTTGTCTAACCCATGACTCAAATTGTGAACAAAGCATACACAGCCAAAGACCTGGGGTGTTGATGGAAAGGGAGACAAGGTAGGGAATAGGATAGAAAAGGGAGACTGACCATGAAGGACGAAGGAGGGCATCCGATTAATAAGGAAACAAGCAATAAGCACAACATCACTCCAAAATCGTTTAGGAACACTCATATGATGAAGAATGAACCGAGCAATTTCAAGGAGATGGCTGTTCTTTCATTCAACCACCCCATTTTGTTGACGGGTGGATGCACATGGAGTTTGATGAATGATGCCATGTTCTAAATATTGTTGAAAGGAAGTAAGAAAGTATTCATGACCATTATCTGAACGAAGAAGTTTGATTGGAACACCAAATTGCGTACGTATTTCAACATGAAATTTTTGAAAAATGGAAAATAATCCACTCATTTCTTTCATTAAATAAATCCATCTCATCCTTGAACAATCATCAATAAAAGTGACAAAATACTTGTAACCATTATAAGACTATTTTAATTGGACCCCAAACATTTGAATGAATTAAAGTAAAATGACTCAACATACGATTATCAACTCTAGGACTGAAGGAAACCCGATTGTGTTTCCCATACTGACATGACTCACATTGTAAAGACAATAAACGACTCAAAGATAGAACCAGTATCTTAAGATCCTTGAGGGATGGATGACCCAGCCGATAATGCCATTGTAGAGGAGTGAGTGAAGTCTGAAGTGCAACTAACGATCCACCACCGTCAAGATAATACAATCCACTGGCTTCATGCCCTCCACCAATCTTCTTCCCCGTCTTATGATCCTAAAAAACACAAAAGGAAAGGAAAAATGTAATAGAGCAATTAAGGGTCTTAGTTAATTTACTGAGTGACATAAGATTGAATGGAAATTTAGGTACAGATGATAAAGAAAGAGAAGTCATATCAACATTACCAACACCACAGATGGGAGAAGAGAAACTGTTGGCAAGGGTAACAGTTTGAGATGTGGAAGTTTCAGAGAGGGAAGAGAACACACCTGGAGTCCCGGTCATGTGATTAGAGGCTCCAAAGTCAATAATCCAGGGAGAGGGTTTGGATGCCAGACAAGCTATACATGAGTGTGCAAGGGTGGCTGTAGTATGTTGTGAAGTAGCCTGGAGGAACCTCTCATACTCATCGCGAGGTACACTCATCATCTCTTTCCCGAAAACAGATGTAGATGTGGAAGGCATTAGATCTGTCTGTTGGTTATCATTGACATCAACCCCACCAACTACTGCATGATTAGCCGCCCATGTAGAAGGTGGACCATGGAAATTATAACAGAAATTCACTGAATGTCCATCCTTGCCATAGTGGGTACACTTCCTAGTAGAGTTACTTTTTCCTTTGCCACAGCCTCCCCTTGAGTCACAACCACCACCACGGCCAAATATGGAACCATCAGGACCCCCTCGGGATGCATGTCCTCCCCCTCTAGTACCACGTCCACCTCCTCTGGCTACTACAAATACTGATCTATCAGACAGTGTGAGATTCTCTATAGATCCCAAGGAAATCCTGTGAAGCTGTGCAAATACTTCCTCAAGTGTAGGAAGAGTAGAGTCTCCCAATATTTGGGCTCTAACTGGTTCGTACTCTGATTTCAGCCCCACTAAGAACCTAGTGACATCTAGTTGTTTCCTTTGTTGTTGTTGAACCTTAATATTTGGAGTGAGGGGATGATAAACATTGAGTTCATTTCTGAGGTTCTTCATACTGGCATAGTACTCTTCTAGGGTTTTATTCCCTTGCTGTAGACCGAAATACTCCTGATAGAGCTGATATACCCTCATAGTATTATCCTGCCCAGAATAAATCTTCTTGGCATGTTCCCATATGTCCTTAGCTATATTTAAGAACATAAAGTTGGCACTTATTTTGGGTTCCATACTGTTCCATAACCACATCATGATTTGGGCATCTTCCTGTTCCCAGTCATCAAACCCTGGAGAGTCAGTTAATGGTTTATCTTCCCTAACGTGTTTCACTTTCCTCTTTGCCTTGAGAAAAACTTCCACTGACTTGGCCCATGGCACATAATTCTCACCATTAAGTTTAATTGAAGCCATTTGCACACCCAGATAGTCGGAGGGAATCACCACACTCGGTTTCTGATCACTACAACCTTCTCCAATTGCTGCCATTATGTCCTCCCAATGCTCCTTCTAATGCTGAAACCCCAGTCACCAACCGAGTACTGTTGTCAAGAGTTTGATGTTTCAGACACTACAACAGTCTCCAAACACAAAGAATAGGTTC